CTGAGAGAAATGACTGAAAAACAAACTAACAACAGAAACAGACCCACAGCGAATCCAGAGTCTGCAGTCAGCCCAAAGATCTTTCAAATAACTGAGTAATATATTAGAGAAGATAAAAAGTCTTGATTCAATGTATGATTTTACAACAAATTTGAGCACAATCAGGATTAGTGAAATGAAAATAGAACAGTAGAAGCTATCCATATTTTAAGTTAATTGAGGTAAAAAACTGGAAAATTCAAAAAGAAAAGGGGTATATGAATGTATATGAATGTTAATGAAGTCCCAGGAAAAAGTAAGGAACAGAAAAATACTTGCACAGGTACTGCAACGGCTAGAAGAAACAAACCAAGGACCAAAAAGTTCACTAAATGCTAAGCAAGACAAAAACCAAGAAAATGATATCTAGTTACATGATGGTAAAAACAAAGATATTTTAGGGGCTAGGGCTGTAGCACATGTGAGTCACTGGGTTTGAGGAAGGAAGGAAGGAAGGAAGGAAGGGAGGGAGGGAGAGAGGGAGGAAGGAAGGAAGGAAGGAAGATTTTTTTTTTTTTAAAGATATTTTAAAAGCCATAGGGAGGGGCTGGGGTTGCAGCTCAGCGGTAGAGTACTTGCCTAGAACATGTGAGGCCCTGGGTTCGATCCTCACCACCACATAAAAATAAATAAAATAAAGGTATTGTGTCCAACTACAACTTAAAAATAAATATTAAAAAAAAAAAAACAGAGAGCGCAACGGATGGCAAGGGAGAAGCAAAAATTGATTCCCAAAGGCAATGCAAAACTGAAGACAATGGAATTACATCCTTAATGTCTGAGATTAACTGCCAACCTAAAAATCTATATTCACCATTATAAACAAAAACAAACAAAGGCTCCCCAAAAGATATCACATTAGATCCCTAGGAAAATGACTATGAACTTATTTGAAATAAGACTTAGCAAATATGACTCAGGATCTTGAAATGAGATCATCCTTGACTGCTCAGGTGAGCCCTAAATCCAATGACAAGTGACTTTAAAGAATACACACAAAAGAGAAGCAGAGGTCTTGACTATGGAAGCAGAAATGGGATTGATGTGGCCCCAGGGCTACCAGTATAGGATGACCTGCAATGCCAGAAACTAGAAAAGGCAAGGACTGTAGCCCTACCCATATTTTAATTTCAAACTTCTGTATCCAGGACTGGGAGAGAATAAAATTTCTATTTTAATCTATTAAAAGCTTGTGAGACTGGGGATATAACTCAGTTGGTAAGTGCTTGCCTGGCATGCACAAGGCCATGGGTTCAATCCCCAGCACAACAATAACAACAAAAAAAAAAATATATATATATATATTATTTACAGGGCTGCGGTTGTGGCTCAGAGGTAGAGCACTCACCTACCAGGTGTGAGGCACTGGGTTCGATCCTCAGCACCACATAAAAATAAATAAATAAATAACCATATTGTGTGCACCTATAATTTAAAAAAAAAAAATTAAAGTTTGTGGATTGGGAGGGGGTGTTAAAGGGAGTTATTCAGATAAAGAACAAAGACCCAGACAGAAATGTGTCAACAAAGAAAGCAATAAACAGAACTACAAATAACTGAGTTAATAGCTGTTGACCAGGGCTGGGGATGTGGCTCAAGCGGTAACGCGCTCGCCTGGTGTGCGTGCGGCCCGGGTTCGATCCTCAGCACCACATACCAACAAAGATGTTGTGTCCGCCGAGAACTAAACAATAAATGTTAAAAATT